ATGGGTCAAATCTTGCAAGCCTATGCAAATAAAAATTTGTATAGAAGAATGTTTAGGTGGAAGTTCAAGCAAGCTACACTCCTACAACAGACATATAATTCTCTTTAAAGAAAAAAACATTTTTAAGTTTATATTATTTGACCCAGCAGTATTATTTCTATCCTATATTAATTTATAATCCTGTAAATTACATCCTAAGAAATAATCAGTAGTAATCCCAAAGGTTTATGTATAAGCATATTCATTGTAACGGTATTTATTTTGAAGAAAAGTTTAAAAGCAACACAAATGGCCCAAAATTTATAATTGATTAAATTCAGTAAATTTTGATACTGAACATCGATAAGATAGAAAAATGTACATTCAGACTATTTTGTAGAGGGAGATCTAGAGGCCGTATTAGGATAGAGATTCAGCTGCTGTTGAGAAGACCCAAATTAATAATGAATTGAATAAGATGGAAGTTTTTTTCTTCCTCATTCAGTGGTTTGGAGATGGTCAGTCCAGGGCTTGCAGCGGCTCTGCTCCATAAGGTCACTCAGGGACCCAGTCTCCTATCTTGCTGCTCTGCCTTCTCTCTTTTACCAGTCTAACGTGTTATCAGCCTGCCTATCTCGTTATCTTATGGAGTGTGGTCCAAGACAGTCCTCACTTCATCTTCACTTCTTTAGCAAAAGAGGACAATGAGGAACCTGTCCCTTTCTCTCAGTGTAACATTTGGAAGTAGCAGCACACCCATCCTTCCCGCTGGCTAGAACTTGGTCACATGGCTACATCCAGCTGTAAAGGAGTCTGGGAAATATAGTTCTGTTTTTTTTTTTTTTTTAATTATACCACAATCAAAAAATTTTGGTGGATACTGTTTCTAAAGAGAGACTGGGAGGGAGAATATTAGAGAACAAATAGCAATCTTTGATTTAGCACAGAAAAATTTTTACAACATACTTGGTGGAAAAAAACCAGGAAACAAAAGGGGACCAATTTTTACATGTCTGTTTGTACTCAGACACATAATTCTTTTTTTGTTGTTTTCTATATAAACAGTGGTTATCTTTGAGAGTTGGGATTGTGTATGATTTAAATTTTCTTCTTTTGTCTTTTCATTGTGAAAAAAATTTTCACAATTTTCTACAAATTAACATTTTTTTTCCCCAGTAATCAGAAAAACCTCACCATATATACATTGAAAAGAAATAATTTAGGAGAGAAAGCAGTGTGTGTTGTGTGTCTGTAGCCCTCTCTCCTTTCTGCCTGGACATCCCTCTGCTGGGCTTCTTTTGTCCGTAGATTTCTCGGTTCTCATGCAAATGACTGACATCGTCCATTCTGTCCCAGACATGAAAGCCCAGTGGGGGTTGTCAGTGAGTTTTTTCTAGTGTGATGCAAGGCAGTTTTCTACCAGGAATAAAAGCCAACCTCAAACGTGGCCTTCCCCTTCCAGGGGATAATTAAGAGCCGATCTCTGGTTCTCCCAGGAAGGAAAGGCTCTTGCTTTAAGATGGGGAGAGAAGGGTGCTGGAGGGTACGGAAGGAACCAGAACATAAGAAGTACTTAAAGAGGCTGTGATTCCAGGTCTTTCTGCTTCTTGGAGCCTGAGACAGCGAGGATTTAGGCAAGCCCTGCTTCTCTTGGGGGCCTAGCTTTTTCCCTGGGGTGGGGTGGCGTGGGGGACAGTTCTGACTTCTCTTCAAAGCTTTGATGGGTTGGTTGTCAGCTTGGCCTTTGGTTGAATGAGGGAGTCCCAAGAGGGAGGCAGATTAGGAGACTGGCTTAGCCACAACCAGGTGAGTGCCTCCATGTGCCAGGTGAATGTTTGTGTCCGGCATTGTTCAATGTGACGATGGTCCAAGGTCCAGATCTGCTGTTCACTAAGTGTGTGGTGGTAGGCAGAGTACTTCCTTGCTCTGTGCTTCCGTTTCCTGTAAAGTGGGACGGTACAACCTCTGCCTTACAGGACGGGAGGGAGGATAATTGAGCTAAGGCCTGTGAAGTGTCTCGCACGGTGCCTGGGGCAGACTAAGGCGCTGCATTTGTTTGCTGGGCTGCATAACAGACTGGGCGGCTTCAACTACAGAAATTTATTGTCTCTCAGTTCTGGAGGCTGGAAGTCTGAGATCAAGGTTAAGACTCAGAAGGTCTGAGTGGACCCCAAGATGCTGCCTTTGTAACAAGGTTCCAGGTGTTACTCATGCTGGTGGTCCATGGAGTTGGTTCCTTGAGGACTGCAAGGAAAAGACCTGTCCCTGTCTCTCTCCTTACCTTGTAGGTGGCCACCTTCTCCCAGTGTGCACCCTATTTTCCCTTTATGTGTGTCTGTTTGTGTCCAAACTTCCCCTTTTTATAAGGACAACGGTCATATTAGGTTAGGGCCCACCCTAACAGCCTCATTTTAACTTCATCACCCCTGCGAAGACCCTATTTCCAAATATGGCCACATTCTGAGGGGGTTGCATCTTCAACACGTGAATTTGGGGGAACACGATTCAGCCATCACGCGCACCTGTAGTATCTATTGCAGACACTAGACATGCGGGTCATTATTAGTGCCAGGGATTCTGTGAGCTTTGATGCGCGCTGCTGCAGGCCATCTCGAGTTGCCATGGTGCCGATTCCCGGGGAAAGGTGACAGCACAGTCTTTCCTGCCTGAGCCACAACGGTGACATTGCTGTCTGTGTCCCAGGGTGCTGTCCCAGATGTGTTAATGGTCTCCAGCGTGCTGGCCCCTTCTGCTCCACAGACACCCCCCACCTCCCATTTTCCTCCTCCTTCCTGCTGAGAGTTGGAAAAATCCATTTATTGTATTCATTTATTTAGTAACCATTCCTGTTATGCTTACTGTGCACTGGGCATTATTCTAAGTGCTTGGCAAATATTAACTCATTTAATCCTCCTAACAACTGTAGGAGGCAGGTACTGTTATTACCTCCTAGATGAAGAAACTGAGGCACGGAAAAGTTAAATAACTTACGGGAGGTTTCATGAGCAGCAGGTGGACGGGAGGTTTCATGAGCAGCAAGTGGTAGAGCCGGGATTTGAACCCAGGCAGAGCCTGGTTCTGAACACTTATACTATGAATAAGAAGGGAGGAACACATACTTTGGAGTCAGGGAAATGGTTTGGATTCCAGCCAGTGAGCGGAACTAGAAATTTCCATCACTGCTTGTTCCCATCTATAGCTTTTCTAAGAACAGGCTCGTTCCCCAGTTCTCTTGGTTGTGCTCCATTATGTCATTCAAGCTGATAGCTGGGGTAGGACATGTGACTTAAGGTTGTCCCCATCCGTTGGGGCCCCGTACCTTGTATGGTCAATCGGATTCCTCTGTCAGGAATTTGGCTAAGGGGTTTGAACAGTGAGGATGGGGAGCTGAAACCTCTTGGTCAAGAGGCATTGTTGGGTGGGACTGGTTATTTTGGGTCATGCACAAGCCAGAGTTAGAAGAGGACGAGTGTGGGCCAAGGACACCTGTTTTCAGAGGTGAGGAGAATGGAGCAGGGCACAGAGAGAACAGAGATGACTCGTGCTGGAGCAGAGGCTGTCTCGAGAGAGGGGAGGACACACATGTGTGCTACTGGTGTGCCTCCTTCACTGGGCAGATGTCCCTGTCCCTCAAGCTGCTGTGAGTGTTGGCTGCTAATGCCTTAGAGTTGTCCCTTCTGCAGAGAAATCCTTGGCCTAATGGCTTCTGGGCCAAGGTTGGCTGGTTCCCCCTCCCCCCCTCCCCCAGCAACCAGCTGCCAATGACTGACGAACATGGGGACAAAAGGCTGATGTCCCTGCTTCGAGAGGGGACCAGCTCTATGGTGCCATCTATACTCGAGCTCCCTGTGGCATTGGGCTGAAGTTGGTCTCCACCTGAGATAACATTCTTGCTTAGCTTTCTTCTTTCCCCTTCCCTGTCCTGTTTCCCTCTCTCCCCTTTCTCCTGAGAGTCTGTCTCAGTAAATCAGTGGCAAAGACTCCCCATCTCAGGGGCAATTTGGATCCCCAAGGAGCAAGGACGGGTGCCTTGACTCGCAAGTGCTGACCAGGCTCAGGCAGCGTAAGATTTGGTCTTCTTATGTCTCCTATTTTAGGATTCTGGGTAATCTGTTTTCTTTCTTTTTTTTTTTTTTTTTTTTTGAGACAGAGTCTCACTTTGTTGCCCAGGCTAGAGTGAGTGCCGTGGCGTCAGCCTGGCTCACAGCAACCTCAATCTCCGGGGCTCAGCGATCCTACTGCCTCAGCCTCCCGAGTAGCTGGGACTACAGGCATGCACCACCATGCCCAGCTAATTTTTTGTATATATATTTTTAGTTGGTCAATTAATTTCTTTCTATTTTTGGTAGAGACGGGGTCTCGCTCAGGCTGGTTTCGAACTCCTGACCTTGAGCAATCCGCCCGCCTCGGCCTCCCAAAGTGCTAGGATTACAGGCATGAGCCACCACGCCCAGCCTAATTTGACAAATATTAAGAAAATATTTAAAAGGAAAAAGCAAAAAACACCTTGGAATTAAAAATAGTTACTACATTTTTATACGGTTTAATGTTCCACAGTGTTTGTTAAAAGTTATATTGAATTTCTTAATATTAAAAATAACAGTATTTATATTTCTGAGAGAATAGAGAAAAGTTTTTTGTTTTGTTTTTAAAACAAGCTTGGAGGTCTTAGATACACAGTTGGTAATGGAGACATGAAAAAACGTATGCTAAACACATGAACACATTTTTATATTACCCCTTTAGAACTCTAGAAATTATACAAACCCTATAAAATACCCCCTTCCCAATCCCTGTTGGACAGCAATACAATTATCTGTCTCAATTCAGAATTCACATAATTAATTACAATACATAATAGTTCAGTTTTTTAAAAAAATGCAATAAAACCAGACAGCCAAGATACAAGAAATTAGAAGTAAAATGAATTTACACATTTCACAATTGAATTTACACATTTCACACTTCTAATTGTGTAAATTCACAAAATGAATTTACACAATTAGAAGTAAAATGAATTTACACATTTAAGAATACTTAAATACTGTTTAAAAATTTTAAAAAAGAATTTGTTACATACTACCTAAGACTTCCAAGCCACTTTCTGTTGCAACAGAAAAAACTGTAAATAAAAAGGACACAAAATGAAACGAAACAAAACAAAAAAACACCATGTTGAAATGTCACTGCTCTGAGGCACGTTCTGGTGCCTGAATTTGCAGGTATTGCTCCAAAAAGAATCCCAGAGCTTACACAAGTAACAAACAAAAATAATGAAGCAAAAATGATCAGCAATTTTTAGTAACTAATTTCCCCGATTTTTAGAAAAATTCTGTTAATCTAAATATAGTGTTTCACAGAACAAAATAAAGGTTCTTCATCAAAAGGTTTGCAAGTCTAAAAACCTGTTACAAATAGGTTTTCTTTCACAATGATTCGAGAGGAGAGGCCAGCCGAGAGCACACTGTTCTACTGCTCCTGGCTGTGGGCCTGAGCTTGGCCTAGTGTCTGCCCGTAGAAGGCCACCTGCTGCCTGTAGTACTCGGCCCAGGCCATGGTGTAGTCCAGTGGGGAGCTGGCCTGAGGGGCGGTGCTGGCGGCGTGACTCTGTTTTTTGTAATAGTCTTCCCAGGCCTTGCTGTAGTCGGGCTGGCTGCTCTGCGGCTGGCTCTGCTGGCTTGGGACCTGCTGTGTGGGCTGCTGCCATGCCTGGAAGGTGCTGCCCCAGCCCTGGGTCAAAAAGGCTGGAGGACCACTTTGATGAGGTGCGGCAGGCTGGCTGAAGGGACTCTGTCCAAAGGCCCCAGGTGCTCCAACACTGGTCCCACCAACTTTCTCATCTATGAGATGCCTGGCCACCTCGATCCGCTGAGGAACGCCCCTGATGGTGAATATTCGCAGGTTGGGGTCGGTGTTGGGCGGGGGGTTCCGCTGAAGCTCCACATGTGCTCCTGACTGCTGATTTATGCTTTTGATGTTCTCACCCCCTTTGCCTATAACGAGGCCACACTTATCTGCAGGCACCGTGTATGCTATCTCTTGGACGCCACCAGGGGTTCCCACGCTCCAGTCACCACGGCCGCGGCCTCTTCCTCTGGCGACGGCCAGGCCTCCGAAGCCATCTCTTTCCTGGGCTGTAAGAATCAGCTCATTGATGATGTGTGCTGCATGCTGACACCAATCTAGAGGGCCCACGACCTGTGCAGCCCTCTCTGGACTGATCCCATCATCTGGTTTAAACTGAATCCTCACACCGGCATCATTCTGGATCTTTTTGATCATTTCCCCGTTTCTTCCTATAACAATCCCAACAGCAAACCTAGGCACGGACACCTCTATACTGCCTCCGCCCATTCGGGAGTTGAAATCACCACGTACACCTCGAAAGTCAGCCTGGTCTTTTCCCCGGATGAATTCCAGCACCATTTCTCTTGCTTGCTGCACTCTGAATGGGTCTCCAGCAACGCGAAGAGGCTTGTCTGCTCCTGTGGGCAACGGGCCATCCTGGATCATAACCATCTTCACACCTGCCCGCTCCTGCAACTGCTTTATTGTCTCCCCTCCTTTGCCGATGACCAGACCCACTTTAGACGCAGGAATAAGAATCTCCTGGATTGTGCTGTTGCCGTCTATGTCATTATGAAAGCCAGGTCCATTCCGACAGCGGCCCACAATCTGCCCCAGGAGCCGTTTGGCTTGTTCAGTACTTTCTGGGGTTCCGGTAAGTACACAGGGCCTCTCTGGAATCCTAGAACTCTCTGAAGCAATCTGAATTTTGCAACCAGATTCTGCTTGAATCCGTGAAATCTGCTCACCTCCCCTGCCGATAATAAATCCAACCATTTTATCAGGCACTTTGAATTCCTCTGTTATTACTGCCCTTTGATGTACCAAGGCCCCTAACTGGTTACCTACTCCATCACCCAAGGGCCGTGTCTGTACTCCGTATCCATACACAGAGGGGCCCACTAGAGGTGTGGAATTATTCAAGTGAGGAATTGAATCAATTTTAGCAGCAATCTGCCGGACTCGGTGCAAGGCGTCCACGAAGCCCTCGGCCTTCATGCCCACCGGAGCGCTCTGCCCCTGCACCAGCTCCGCCATTGCCGGCCCCTCGGCCGCCGCCGCCGCTCGGCTCCCGGTCCGGCCTCCCCGCCTGTTGCTTCTTGAGTTATAATGAAATCACGAATCACCTGGGGATCTTGTGGCACGTGGCCTCTGATTCAGAAGGTCTGGGTGGAGCCCAAGGTGCTGCCTTTGTAACAAAGCTCCAGGTGCCACTCGTGCAGGTGGTCCATGAAATAGTAAAACCCTGGGTAAAAGGTCTAGTCTCTTTTATTGGTTCCAGAGTGACTTTTTCCCTCTGCAAACAGCCTAGCTGAATGGTGGACTCTTCCGTTTCCATTCCACTTTGCATATCCTGTGAGATGTGGTTTCTGCCAAATAAGGAGATCTCTGTGCTGAGACAGCTGGAAAAGCCACCAAGGAGCTAACTTCAGGGGACGCAGGAGGCTGGGGAGGGGCGCTTGCTCCCGGACAGGAGGCAGGCCGTTGGTCTACGACTATGCATGGATGTCTCCTGATTCTTCCCCTCTGCTCCTTAAGCAAGGACCGTGCACCTAGAATTCTAAGGCTGCTGCTTGTCTGGAGTCATATCTCTTGTTTTCTGGACCCTGGCGCAGGTGTGCTGCCTTCTGGACAAAACCATCGCACCTGAGCTCTCCAAGTCCCTTTGACCATGGCCTTGGGCCTCCAAGCTCCCTACGTATTAGAGGTGCTGGCCTGCCCCTCACTGCCCCAGTGCCTGTTTTGGCATTGTGACTATCACGAGAGGTTCAGGCAGTTCCAGAGATGAGAAAAAAAAAATATTGTGTTATTTCCATAACATTTAATGACTTTCCTCCTTTCCTTATAATCCTGGGCAAGTCCCTATAAACCTTCCCCTTTCCAAACTGAGATTGGTTTTACTTGCTCGCTGCCGCCCCGGGCGAGGTTCCTCCGCCTGTGTGTGCTCATTGCCACTCCCCTCCCCTCGCTGCCTCCCCCCCCACAGCTGTGCAGAGTGGAGCTTTGCTCAGAAAGGCTCTTCTGGCCTAAGACGGGGAGGAAGGTCTCTTCTGTGGGCGCATCTGAGAGTTTTCGATTTCAGCCTAGAAGGCACTGGACAGAGAAAAGGCCCTTGATGGATTAATTCTTTCTGTAACACGTGCTGAGGACCCAGCTGTGCCAGGCATTGCTCTAGGAACCAAGGGTACAGCAGCAAGCAGACACGGTCCCTGCCCTGACCATCTAGGTGGGTGGATTACACCTCCCTTATCAATGGAAGCCCCTAGAAAATACACACACACACTGGTCTTCAACCTCCTGAGAGACCTAGTCTCGCTGGCTTCAAGGGAATGGCCTTAGTCTCAGGACCAAGGAAATCAGAGGAATCTGCCTCCACCTGAGAAGAAAAGCAGGGATTCGCGGTTTTAATGGAATATCCCTATTTCTGCCCAATTTTCGTAGAAACTTGCAGATGACTCCTTACGCTGATGGATGTGTAATGATGGCTGGAATGAATGAATTCAGCCCCTGGGAGCCCGAGATTATCTCCCTACCGCAGCCTTCTGTGAGCAGCCTGGTCCATTTCCTTACGGTGGCTGTGGCCAGAGACAGAGAGCACCCAGAGGCCACTCCTGCCTTTTGACAGCGTTTGTGGTCAGTCTGGAATGGATTTCACTGTCGGTTGCTCGGCAGCGAGTGTTGGGGGGCCTGACTGATGGGGGAGGCATGGCGGCCACCCTGGGCTCTCCCTCCCCACTCCTGTACCAGCAGCAAATTCCTTAAGGGCTACAGAAATTTGTCAGAGAAGTGTCACCCTTTGGAGCCACCAGGCCAGGGGCTCTAGACTGGAATCCTTAGGGGTTCCATTATTGAGTTGGTGCCTAATCCCCACCCACCCACCCAGCCCACGGAAGCTTTTCACAGGCGGTGACCTGGAGCAGGAGTCAGCCAGGTGACAGATGGTGGAAGAGCCTTCCAGAAAGAAAGGCCTCGCTGCCCTCAAGGGGAAGCATTGCACGTGAAGGGGCAGGGAGGCCAGCAGAGGCCAGAGCTTTGGAAACCAAAGAGTTTGGACTGAGTCCTGCAGCCAGGGAGAAGCCCGTGAAAGTTTCAGGCATGGAATGACAGACTCTGATCGGTGCCTTGGAAACCTCTCCTGGCTTGGGTGTGCAGAACAGGCTGTTGGGATAGGAGGCAGGAAAGGATGCAGAGAACCTACTGGGAGGCTCTGCAGTCACCAGGCGAGAGTGAGTCACAGCGACAGTCCAATTTTAGGATGAATAGATTGGGTAGTTGACCAAGTGTTGGGGCAGAGAGAGAGAGAGGGTATGTCAAGGGTTCTGATTTGAACAATGGCATTAAGGTGGCACACAGAGAGACTCTGAAGAAGGAGAAAGTGATACTGGGGGTGGGGATTGATGGAGAAGTGTGTGAGTTCGGTGTGAAGTGCCTGTAAGTCACACAGATGGACGTTTGGATACATGAGTCTGCAATTCACGAGAGAGATAGCTCTAGACCAGCAGTCCCCAACCTTTTTGGCACCAGGGACCGGTTTCACGGAATGCAATTTTTCCATGGACCAGCGGGGAGGGAGTGGGGTGTCGTGGCTGTGGCGTGGTGGTGCAGAACTCAGTTGGTGACACGTGGCCCGTTTCCTAACAGGCCATGGGCCAGTGCTGGGCCGCAGCCCCGGGATTGAGGACCGCGGCTCTGGATGACTGCTATCGGGACTTTCTGCAACGATGGAAATGTTCTATATCTGCTTTTCAATATGACCACTGAGCACTTGAAGTGATAACAGTATGACTGAGAAACTGAACTTTTTATTTAATTTTAAATGATTTATATTTAAATTTAAATGGACATGTTACAACTGGAGGCTTCTGTATGGGACAGGGCAGCTCCACGTGGGCTCAGCTGCTGACTACTGGATTGGACAGCACAGCTGTCTCTCCTTGTTACTCTTTTTCTAAAAGAATTTTACTGGCTATTCTTCTTTGTTCTATTTTTTCCCCTGACTTTTTTTTTATTGTAGTAAAATATACATGATATAAAATTTACCATGAAAACTATTTTTAAGTGTACAATTCAGTGGCAATTAGTACATTTACAATGGTATATAACCATCACCCACCATTTCCAAAACTTTTTCAGCCCGTTAAACAGTAACTGTCCCTCCCCAAGCCCCTGGCAACCACCATTCTAACTTTCTGTCTCTATGAATTTACCTGTTTGGGGTATGTCATATGAAAGGGACCATACAATATTTATCCTTTAGTGTCTGATGTACTTCACTTTAGCATAATGTTTTAAAGATTCATCCATGTTGGAGCACATATCAGAATCTCTATTTTTTTTTTTTTTCTGAGACAGAGTCTCACTCTGTTGCCCAGGGCTAGAGTGAGTGCCGTGGCATCAGCCTAGCTCACAGCAACCTCAAACTCCTGGGCTCAAGCAATCCTTCTGCCTCAGCCTCCTGAGTACCTGGGACTACAGGCATATGCCACCATGCCTGGCTAATTTTTTCTATATATTTTTAGTTGTCTGGCTAATTTCCTTCCATTTTTGGTAGAGACGGGGTCTTGCTCTTGCTGAGGCTGGCCTTGAACTCCTGACCTCAAGTGATCCTCCCACCTCGACCTCCCAGAGTGCTAGGATTACAGGTGTGAGCCACCGTGCCCGGCCAGAATTTCATTTTTTAATGGCTGAATGATACCACACTATTCTTTTTCAGATGGCATTTTAGTTAAGATATAGTGTAGGTTCATTGGCATGAGATGGAGACTCAAAATATGTTCCCATATAAGACACACTGATTTTCCTCTTATATATAAGTTTAAGTGGTAGGGCACTTTTTCTGTCTTATTTCTCTGTCATCTTAAGGATATGGTTTTCATCTGGGTGATCCAAGACGGCTCACTACATGTCAGTGGGGAAGGGGTAGGGGAAGTCTTTCCCCAGATGTTGCACATGTGTGGTTGGCTCATATTCTATTAGAACTTAGAACTTAGTCACATGACCATTCCTAGTTGCAAGGGAGGCTGGGAAATGCATCCCTTATCTGGGAAAGTTGGGATTCTACTATTTAAAAAGAGGAGAGAATGAATATTGGGGTAAAACTAGTATTTCTGCCATAGATGGTGTGTGTTCACACGCTGGTGTGAGCAATGAGAAAATTTCATTAGGAAACACTTATTGAACACGTATTATGTACCTCTGTCACCTGTCTTCCCTCATCTATAACACTTGGCTTTGATTAGTCATATTTTTATTCTTAGTTCTCTTAGAACTTTTAACATATTCTTCATTTAATTGATTTATCAGCTTTAAACAATCCTACCATCCCCATTCAGAAAGACCAGAAATTCAGTGGGCTGACACAAATTCCTGCCTTCTTTCCCTCTCTACCCTCCTGACTTTCATAGTTATATTATTATTTCTACATTATTATGGTCTGTAACACTTCTGTTTGGTTCTGTATCCCTGATTCTTTAGATTTTATTCTACACTTAAAATTTTTCAGAGCTTACTGTAAGCTCTTTTAACACAACTTTTTCATTCAACTCTTGGCAGACTTAAGAGTCTTCTCTGGTAATTTCTTCAAAAAGTGCTAATGGGAATGGTATTGTCTGGGTTGTTCAAAAATACTAGTTATCTTTTTTTTTTTTTTGAGACAGAGTCTCACTTTGTTGCCCAGGCTAGAGTGAGTGCCGTGGCGTCAGCCTAGCTCACAGCAACCTCAATCTCCGGAGCTCAGCAATCCTACTGCCTCAGCCTCCCGAGTAGCTGGGACTACAGGCATGCGCCACCATGCCCGGCTAATTTTTTGTATATATATTTTTAGTTGGTCAATTAATTTCTTTCTATTTTTGGTAGAGACGGGATCTCGCTCAGGCTGGTTTCAAACTCCTGACCTTGAGCAATCCACCCGACTAGGCCTCCCAAAGTGCTAGGATTACAGGCATGAGCCACCACGCCCGGCAATACTAGTTATCTTTAAACAAACAACTTACTTGTTTATAAATCTTTGATCACATTTTCTTTTCTTGAGGACTTTGTAGATATTGTCACACGGTGTTCTAGTGCTGAATATAGTCATGTAAAAGT